GGGAAGGTTTGGGAAGGTTTGGGAAGGTTTGGGAAGGGAAGGTTTGGGAAGGGAAGGGAAGGGAAGGGAAGGGAAGGGAAGGGAAGGGAAGGGAAGGGAAAAATGAAAAACCTAACAGGTTTACTCCTGAGTAAATTAATACTCTATTTTTTAAATTTAAAGCCAGAGCTGGTTAGGAAGTACTTTATTAGGCAATAAAATGAAAAGTCTACAGCTCTTCTACACCTTGCCAAAGGGGTCCATGGAAAAACAAGTAAGGTAATTGCTATACGTCCAGAAGAAATAAAAATAACATTTCCCAATCCATCCTGCCTTAGCTGTTTGTACCTAAGCTTGTGCCATTTTCTGTGCTCTGCTATCCCATGCATTCCTGATGTTATCATATTAAATCTGTCTCAAAACAACAAGTGTTTTGGGGGGGACTTTATTGCTCAGTCACACAATTTCCTAGCTTCCTCTCATTCTAGTCCTTGGTACCAGAGAAGTAGGGAAGGAATGAGCAGTGCAGAGGTGGACTGGGGCAGCTGGCACTGCTGACAAAATGTGTTTATACACTCTCGTTTCAGTAGTTTTTTGGTTTGGGGTCTTTTTTGTTTGTTTAGTTGATTGGTTGGATATTTTTCTTATTTTCCTCCAAAGAATCCTCATTTCCAGCTGGAATTTTTTAAGCATCTTTAAACCTTTCATGTTAAACCTGACACCAGACAGTGCAGAGATTCACCAGTGCTGCCCCAGTCAACTAATCATTCAAAGAAATCTAAATAATTAGTTTCTTATGTTGACCTGACTTTTCTCTACCCAGTGTAAGTCTGTGCAACCCATTTCTACAGGGTGCTTAAGATTAACTGCTGAACATTTCTCACTTTGGTCCATTACAGTGATAACAGTGCTAGAGAAGAATATCATAAAAATCAACCTCCACAAGACCACATTTTTCCATCCCCTCCCCTCTCCTTGCTTCCCCTCCCCTTCCCTCTCCTGCCCCCCTCCCCTTGCCTCCCCATCCCATCCTGTCCCTTTCCCATCCCATCCCCATCCCCATCCCCATTTGCTCCCCCCTCCCCATCCCATCCCACCCCACTCCTTCCTATCCCTTCCCCATCCCTTGCCCTCCCCTTCCCTCCCATCCCATGCCTTTTCTGTATGATATACAGTTGTACACCATACAAATTAGGCAAATCACTTGTAATGTGAAAACTTGTCATCTCTTCTCTCACTTTCATCAGGGTCCTGGATCTCATTTTGTGTGCCATTCCTCACTATATGTGGAATGCAAGCTCACTTGCAACTAAGCTAAATTTAAGTATGAAATGAATTTTAGTGGCTACCATAAATATTTACAAGGAAAAACATAGCAGAGGCTTTGGACATTTTTTACTGAAGGTCAGCACAATATTTTCCAGCTACACAATCTGAGAGGGTTAATAAATGCACATGCTTGGGAGTGAAAAGATATTATCTCCTACTTAGTAGTCAAAACTAGAAAGGGGAAAATTCAAAAGGAAAGACAGAATTGTCTGAGCATGTCACTGTGTTATGCATCACTTGTGCAGCAAATTAATTCTGTTCTTACTCTCTATTCCTCCATATTATCAGTACTGATTTTTATCTGCCATTTTATCACCTTGTCACTCTGTATTTCAAAGTCCTTAAATAGTTCTTTGCAGCTGGATCTCTTCTCTGTATCCTGCATAACTTAGTACATCAGTAAACTTAGTTATGAATATTAATAGCTCATATATAATATCAGCAAACTTTATTGTGAATATGAATAATATTGACTTAATACTTCAGCAACCTTAGTTATTTCACAGCTTCCCTTTTTTCTCAAATTGCTGATGTCTACATTTTAAATCACAGAAAAGACATATTAACCCAGCACCACTGTGTTCACCCCTAAACCATATCCACACACCTTTGGAAAGGTTACAAGGATGTGCAGCCTATTCCAATGCCTGACCAGTGGCACAGGCCACAGGTAAGCCCTCTCATGACTGAACCCACTTAACTGCAAAAGCTATTCACCGATTTCTGCTCTTTTTGTCTTATATTTTAACCAGTTGCATATTTATGTGAGGAATTCCTGATAATGTAATAGCTTAATTTCTTTTGTAGCTTTACAGCGAGACTCTTCAGAGACTCTTTTGAAGCTTCAAAGACACAGCAGTGTTTTGGCTCCCCCTTGTCTGTATTCATTGAGTCTTCAGTAAACTCTTGTGTAACAAAAAAGTGTGGTATATCCTGTCACAAATGCCATATCTATTATTTTCTTTTGCACCACATTTATCCATGGGCACACTCTGTCTAGGAATTGTGCGGTAGGGATGTCAGCTTTACTGGTTTGCAGTTTTCTGGGGTTCCCCTGAGGCCTTTTAGAAAATTAAGAGCCAATAAGCCCACTTTGTGCATCCCTGGTGTAGGGGCAGACTCAAGAGCAGGTGGTATCATGCACCCCTCGAAGTCTCTATTTTGTCTGTTTTGGCCTTGAGTCCTGCAGGACTCCTGGGTGAAGGTTGTCAGCTTAAATCTGTCCTTGCCATTATCTTCCTCCACTAGTCCAGGAGTGACCATGGGATTATTTTTTGTCAATGGGAATCAGGAATAATAAAAAGTCTAAAAAGGTCTGGAGGTGGAAAAATCTAAACCTGGTAGACAAGTGCAGGATTTTCAGCCCAAAATAGCAAATAATACAAAAACTCTCACCTCTTTGCTGTCTTGTGTGGGGCATAGAAGTGACAACAGCAACTTTTGCAATGCATGGGATTCAGGAGGCTGCTGAAGTAGGTGAGGAGCAGCACAATGGCCTAGCAACAGCAACAAATATGACTTCTGGGTGTGTTATGCAGCAGTTGGCCCTGATGCAAGATAGCAAAAGAAGGCCAACCATCTTCCGGCTTCCTCTTTCACTCTTTTCTTACCAAGGTGCCCACCTACAGTAAGCAAAGTCTTCCTAACAGGCTATAAGGAAGATGTATGCCAAAAAGTTACCTGCAGAAATAAACAGAGTAATCCCTTGATCCATGGCAAAATCACTTGTGTCTGTATGGTGGTCACATCATCCAGAGGGAAACTAAAACCAAAGAGGGCTCCATTTCCTGTCACACAAAGAGGAAAGGAATCTCCTGCATCACTCCATGCTCACTGCTACCTCTCAAGCAAATGTGTAATTTGCGAGATTTCCCTCTAAATCACTAGTCAGAGATGACCTTGACCTTACAAAACAGAAAGGCACCAGTCAGATAAACCTGGTCTCTAAATCAACTCAGGGTTGTGAGTTTAACAGGAGTAAGTGACACTCAGTAATTCTTCACAGATTGGATTTATGTTATCAAACAAGATTCAATAAAATATATCCATGTGCATAAGCACTTCCACAGAAATGTATTCTTGAGAAGTGTATCGTCATATACAGTAAACCCAAAGCCAATGACACCGAAGGAAAGTCATTCCACAATTCACAATTTTATTTTATCCTCAGACTGTTAATGTCACTAGAGGTAAGGAAATTCCACTCTCCCCCTTCCTCCCACCTTTCTCATAGGCTCCTGAAGGTCAAACAACAGATTTTGCTCACTGGCAGCTCTCCCTCTGGGGCATGCACAACTGTCCTCAGTCCACTTCGTGTCTCCCTGCATTATCATCCTGTGTCCTCCACCGCAGATTTCTGGTTGCATCCTTAAAAACTGTAGATGTCAATGATTTATGTTCTTACAAGAACAAATTTAGGCTTTCCATTTAAGCTTCACCTTTAGAAGGACCATTGAACAGAAACATTATGCAAATAATGCTGTTCAATCAACTAAAATTTATTTCCTCGCCACCTGAACTGTATTTACATGACGACACTATTTTAATGAACCATGATGCTAAATTGAGTTTGAAATACCTACACTGAAAATTTGGCTACCAGGCTAAACAAATGCTAAAGAACTCAGTCTTACCCAATTTGTTGCAATAACCATGCAACAGTTCTTTATTGCAGTATATAATTCCTTGTGCAGCTGGTGCTGCTTGAGGTTTTTGTTAAAGGTTGATTGATTAAAAAATTTACAAAAGTCAATGGAAAGATTGCTTTTGATTTAAAAGTGAATTGAATTGGGAAACTTGATTCTGGGTATCAATATAAAGTGCTTTAAAAAAAAATAAATCATATCTTGAGTGGTGTGCCGAGACAAATGACTCTAATAAATGAAAAAGCATAGAAGAGGTTGAGAATTTAGAATAGAGCCTGCACTTTCATGAATTTGCATAAAAAACACTACCAGTGTTCACATTATTTGCTGAGAATATTCTTAACTTCCCTAAATGGTCTCAAAATTCCTTCACATTTGAACCTGATATGCAACCTTGGGAAGTATGAAGAATGCGAGTTACTTCATAGCATCAGAAACCCTCCACACACCATAGGTTCTATTTAATTTGAATAGTCCAGCCTTACAGGCTTTTGGTTCCTGAGCCATACTTCTCTTTTGGTCACTCCAGATACTCAGGGAACACCTTTCACTCAATGATAGAAAGATTTGATTACTCACTGTAAAGCTAAACTGTTTTGGTTTTGATTACAAATAAATGCACTAAAGTCCTTTCCCACATTTAGCCCAGCAGAACGTTTGGAATAAAATGGCTGTGAATTTATGGAAAGGTCATAATTTGTTGATAAATGACAAAATTCTCAAATTATATCAAATACCAGTAAACTATTAATTTAAAATACATACAGTACTTTTCAGAGATCTGTAGAAAATACATAAAATTATGTCAACTACCCTATGTCTTTCATGTGCTTGTTCTCTTTGTAGATTAACAGAGCAGTTTAATAAAAATCATGAATGAATAAAAAATAGTTGAGATTTTTTATCTGAAGCCAACACACAGTGATGAAAGTCCTGATGAAAGTCCAGCTGGTGAGCTTCATGTTCCCTGTCTCACAACTGGGGTTTTTTTTGCCATAGACTTCGTAAAAATTATTTTCTTATTGAATGCTGCAAAAAATGATGTGGTTTTCAGATGGTGTTTATCACAGGTGTCTAGTTGCAAGGATATAAATGGAAAAAATTATTCATTTTAAAACTTTGAACTGATCTTAGTAAGCTAGCTCTTTGTTTTCAGAGAGTTCTTATGAATTCTAAAATTATGTGTAGACCAACTGCACAAATGCTACATGAACACACTGTGGGGAAAGAATAGCAATTAAAAGAAGAAATTCTCATGCATTTGTGCCTCTATCTTCAAAATAGGCTACACACAGATGGACAAAATAGGTATCTTTTAACCTGCACAGAGAAAAACAAGGTCTTAGATGAAGAGTAAAAGTCACTTCAGCTAAGTAGTTTCTGTCCAGTGATAGAAGTTACTCTCCAATAAGCATTTCACATGCCATTAAAACAAACAAACAAACAAACAAACCAACCTTAAAAAAAAGAAGTTACAACCACAAATACAATTCCATTTGCAGTTTTTACAAAAATGGTGTTTGACTACTCACAGAAGCCACTCACTAAAAGCTCTGTTTCAAACCAGAGGCACTTTTGGAGGACATGAGAAGAGACATCTGGTCTCTAGACTCTGACTAAACTTAAGGAATAGCTCGAATCTGAAGATCTGTCCTTCTACCAGAATTTTTAATAGCTCTAGGCACTCTTTTAAATCCATATAGCACTCATTTCACATTTTTTTAATTTTCTTAGACCCTGTACAGCATCATTTCGCAGATTCTCAATTTTGCTTGGCCATTTTCTGTTTTAAAGGGGTTTTACTGATAAACTTTCTGAACTTGTGAGAAGATGACTGACAATAGAGAAGCAGAATTTTCAAGAGGATGCTTTTAATATTGGATAGACTTCTTTTTTACTTATTTGTGAGTGTGATCTATCATTTCCACGACAGAGTACTTGTGTGTATTTCTCTGAGGGGCATTTCTGAAAGCGCAACACAGTGATGTGGCAGGGATCTTGGGAAATACTGAGTCAGAATCTCAGAGTCAGCACTTTCCTCTGGGTAGGACAAAATATGAAACACATCTGCCCTGACTTTCTTCCCATATAGATAGTTCTCCTCCCGGTACCTGGGTTTCCTTGTATCTTCTCTGGTTTTATATTCAGAGTAAATAAGCTATAGATGAACATTCGCTTAGTGGTTCAGATAGGAAAATGAGCAAGGCTTTGGAATGGTTTTATCCTTTCTCAGTCCTTGTTTCTGTTTCAAATTTCCATTGCTTTTCTTTGTAACCAGACCCTTTTCTTTCTGGTCACCTGTCTCTCTCCCGCTCCCAGGAAAGTTCTCTGATTTTTTTACCCTGCTTGGCCCTTCCCAGAGCCCAGCCCTCCTCAGTCAATGAATAGGGTCCAAACTCATACTTTCTTATGGATCTCTTTCAGGGCCTACTGCTTCCCATAAGATGTGATCCAAATAATGATGGCTGAGTACAAAGGAAATCTCTATCAGATGACTGTATTTTTTGTACTAATACATACATGTCTATTGTCAGAAAAGTCCAAACCACCCTTTCTCCACCTTCAGCCCCTCCATATCTTAGGAGGACACATTTTACCTGATTCTAAAAACAATTATTTGACTTTATTATGACCCTCCTAATTTTTTCTCTGTTCTTTATTCTATTTTATCACACTCACTTGCATCCTGGGTTTATGAAACTTATTAGCACCCTGTGAGCTCCTATCAAATATTGGTTGCTTATTCAGTTGAGCTGACACTGTAATGCTCTGTCTCTTTCATCTTTTGTGGTATCCAACAATGGGAGAGATTATTACTCACTCACATAAGAAATAATGAGTCTAACATATCAGTGTGGGAGTTCCAGTTCTTGTCTGGCTATTTCTTACCTGTAGCTAATCTGTTTAATCTTCAGAGGAAAGTGTGTGGGTTTTGTTCCTTTTTACTGTTATTGTTTTCTTCCTTGTAGTTATTCTCAGTTTGTCTCTGTTTGAGCTAGAAGAGACCTTCTGCACCTCTTCAGCCACAAGAATATGCAAACACATGTATAACAAATTCAGCATCAAAGTAGCTTTTGCTATTCTGACATACCAGCATGAGCACTGTTACTGTTTTTCACCTCCAAGAAGGAGTGAGAGGGGATAGATGGTCTGGAGTTTAAAAATGTCTAAGAGTTAGCCCAAGAAGAAAGATGATTTTCTGCAGCAGGATTTATTAATTTATACTTAGTACCTGGAGTACACACTCAAGTTAAATCATTAAATAAAATTGTTGAACAGGAAATACTAGCTTCCTTGTGCTTGAGAAGGCTGTGGTGAGAGGAAAGTCTGCAACAAAATTCAGGAGAAAAGGTCCCAGGCAGTATGACCATCTGATAGCCTGGTTTTGTATCACCACATCTGTCTCAGAGTGCCAGAGGCAAGCCAAATTTTCTTTTCACCAGGCACACAATTTTAAGAATTACTGAGCTGTATGGACAGAAATTCACCTCTGGGCTGAGTGGCAAAGCACCTGCGAGGAGCACTGCATGCATTTCACCTCCAACCCCCACCCGCCTTCAGCTTGCAGGGTGGCTAAACCAACAGAAAACCAAATCATAGACCTCATGAAATGGAGGGTAATTGCTACATAGCTCACAGCTAGTATTGCTCAAAGGAACCATGGATTCCCTGAATGTGTCTAATATATAGCATTACATACCTGCTCTCTCTGGAACCCTTGCAAGCAGAGATGGTCTAGCCGACTGTAACAATTTTGAGGTGAACAAACTTCTATTAAGAAGAGGAATGAATCCCACTGTGATCTTACTCAGTTGTGGTCAAAGCTAAGCAGTGAGCACAGTTTGCAGCAAAGGAATAAAGACTTCAAATGCAACACATTAAAGTATCACTGAAACAATCTTATTTAGGTGCTCTTTGGTGCAGCTGTTTGTAGAAACAAAGGCACTAAATTAGTCATAGGGCTATTGAACAAGTTGTCTGGCTGACTCATAAAAGCAAAGAGACAATAAAGTAATTAAAAATACAGGCAACAACAACCACTTTATGGTTACTTTTCCAAGATAGTAAAGAAAACAGTGGAGAGGAGTGGCTAATGTCAAGTCGAGGGTGATTATTATTACAAGGACATGGAGGCTGTGTCGCCTAATAACAGATAATGTTTTACAGGAAAAAATTCATGGTTCATGTTCTTTAAAAATCTGATTATAAAATAATATATTAAAAGGGTAATTAAAAATTCCTTAGACACATCTGTATTGCAAACGCAGAAAGGCAGGGCAATCAAACATCATGGAAACAGGTTCTCTCAGCTGAAGAATGAGAAGGCAAATGTGGCTGGAGTTAAATGGGTTTTGATTTAAAGTGCTTGTGAGTGTTCACCTCACAGCTGTGATCGCCTTTAATGCTCAAGTGAATAATCATTTCCAGAGACAAGGGGTAAATCAACACAGATTCAGAGGCTGCCACTAAGGATGGGGGGTTGTGTGTGTGTGTGTGTGTAGGTGTGTGTGTAGGTGTGTGTGTAGGTGTAGTGATATAGCATCCACATTGCTACCTCGGGACAGGCTGAATTCATTGAATGTTTCCATCTAGCTCCTCAAGCCTTCGTCTCCTGCCCCCACCCGTTTTCCAGGGGAGATAACATTTTTCCATAAGTGGAGACCTATATGTATTGATTTATCCATGTTTGATATCTTACACTAACAAAGGGATTTACTATGTAATTTCATTAATTCTGTATTTTCCAGGCTGTTTTGCTTTACTCATTTGCTGGAGCAGTAATTACATGTACGACTTCAGGTGGAAATGACTCATGTTCATATTCTTCAGCAATTGTCCCTGCAGTGTTAATGATGCCGTCCTATATTAAACCTATTTTCTGAGCAAACCTATTTGCCAAGAGATGGCAAACTGAACTGCAGAGGCTATGGGAATAATTTCACTACTTCTGCAGAATTTTTGAATTTATTAATTTACATTTTATAAAGGCTAAATTTTGTGCCAGACCTTACCTAGAAAGGTAACACATTTACTTTTGTTTAAGATGGAATTTGGAGATTCCCAGCTGGAACCCTGTGTTACAATGTTTCATTGGGATCATTTTTGGGAAGGACAAGACTAAAAAGGGAGTTCTTTTCTTACTTTCTTTTGTTTCAAGATGCTTATGCATTTGGGTTAAATATTTGATATTTCACTCATATTCCTCTCGAGACAAGGGAGATAAGGTAGTTATCTTAAAGCGAAGAGAACAAGGCTGCAAGATCATTTACAAGAGAAAT